CGTTGCTAACCGAGTTCGCAGGAAGGAACTTCACATAAATTGCCAATTGCCACTATACGGACACCTGAAACTTAGTTCCTTGACAAGAACTCAGATAGTCAGCCCTTGTCGAAGACGGAAAAATTTCGCAGTGACATGCTCTCTGCTACCTTCTTCAACAAGCTGTCCAACAATTCTCAAACTTTCTAGGCTAAACCAAGTGGGAGTTTCCGAAAAAGGGGGATCCTAGTATAGTACCCTAAATAGTAGGATCCTTACTATAAGGACCCCATAATGAGGTACCCCTAATTTTCGGAAACGCCCACATCTGGAGTCAGCCCAAAACTGAGGGGGGTTCAAAACGCAGCTCAAGGGATCCTTAAAGGAGCCCTTAAGGGATCCCTGAACGGAAACCTTAAGGGATTCCTTAAAAGCCCTTAAGGAATCCTTGCCGGCCTGGCTATCGTAGTACCAGACGTGATTCAAGACAGGGCCGAAGATGTACATACCTTATAGGGTTTAGGGTTTAGGGTCAAGACAGGGCCGAAGATGTACATACCTTGCTGTTTTTGCGGGCTGTTAGACGGCAGACATACTTAAGGAACCATCGGCAATAAGAACACGACTTCCTCAGGCCCACAAGAAGCCTAAAAGCCCTTGTTAGACGTGTTCGGGTTCAAAACATTGAACAGGACACTCCGAACCCGGACAGCAACGCCCACACCATGAATCCTTCAACCCTACCTGCGCCCAAAAATTCCTAACACGGCTTTGGGACGGGAGCATATACTCCTTTAAAACAAGAGGCCTCTTTAGGGTGCAAGGGTTTGGAGTTTGGGTTTCGGGTTTGGGTCTAGGGTTTAGGAGAGGGGGTCAGACTTTGCCGTCTGATATACGGGTCTGAATAACTAGCCGTAGCAGTGTTCCCATCTACTTAAAGGATCATGGGACTTAGCAACTAGCTTATAACTGGGGTTATAAGTCCCCTAACTGGGGTTATCCTAGTTATGACCTACTTATAACCTTACTTGCTAAGTCCCGTGAGCCTTTAAGTAGCCGTAGCAGTGTTCCCATCTAGTCCTTATACAGTATTTCGACATAAGCCCAAAAGGCCTTAAACCCTAAACCCGAAACAACCTGAATTTTGGAACACCGAACCGTTCTCCGGCAACTCCTCGGGGTTTGGGGTACGACTTGAAATCCAACACGCGAAACCCCTGCACTCAGTCCTACTTACAGGATACGGGACCTAGTAACTGGGGCTATAAACAAGGTAACTCTATGTATAAATACTTATAACCCCAATTAAGGTACTTATAACCTTACTTACTAAGTCCCATGATCCTCCAAGTAAACCCTGCACCACAAAACTTCGAAGCTCCATTTCCCAAAACCATACCTAAATACGAAAGTGCCTGGACAATTTGAGCATATGGGAGTTTCCGAAGACAGGGGACCCTAATGTAGCACCCTAAATAGTAGGCTCCTGATTACAAGGACCCCAAAATAAGGTGACCCTAATTTTCGGAAACTCTAAACCCCAAACCTTTCTAGAAGCAAAGATCCCTTCAAAAGGAACCCTTAAATCCCAAGCAATATAGGGGCCTTCATAATTAGAATAGGCTTCCCTTTAAAGGCTTCCTTTTGAAGGAGTCTTTTTGGATTACTATAAGGGGTAATTATGGGAGTTTAGTATAGGGGCCTTCATAATTAAAATAGGTTGGGGTGCCCCTTATGCTATAATTATACAAAGGAACCCCAAGAATAGCATAGGCAATTAACTATTAGGCCTCTATATTTAACCCGAAGCTTAAAGACGCTCCACCGAAAATTGTCAGACAAAGTGGCGCTTTTTCTGGATGTCCCACACCTTGACTTGCTGTTGCGCTAGGGTTTGGGGTTTAGGGTTTGGGGTTTGGGGCTGTTGGTACTACTATTACAAGGAGTATTGTCATTACATTTGTTGTTGCTATTGATACTGTTCATGTCAACATTGCGCTCCTCAATCAATGCATGTTCACCCAAACCCTACACTCTGAACGCTTAACAACGAGCAATAGTAACCTTTACAGCCTAGATTCCTCCCCACACAACTTGATGGAATATTCCTTAAACCCTTACTGGGCCTTCAACCAGCCCTAACAACTATCATAAAGCCCAGAATGATCTATGAAATCCTACGCAGCCCATCATAAAAGCATACAAAGGTCTTACGTAATCCTTCTCAGCCTGCAAAGCCATATACGACCATGTCAAACTTGGGGTTGAAGTGCGTAAAGCTTCTGAATGAGCTTTAGGGCAAAGGGCTTAGAGTTGAATGTCTTAGTCTCAGGACTTTTAATTTTGTTTGAAGCTTAGGGTCTAGGGCTTAGGGTTTCGGGTTTAAGGCTTGCTTACAAGGGCCGTTAAGGCGGTTGTACCAGGGATTCGGGGCTTTGCGTCGAAGCTTGATAAGAAGCTCTTGGTTTAACGGTTTTACGTTCAAGGTTCAGGGTTCATAAGGGTCACTGCCTCGGGCCTGGATTCCAAAGTTCGGGCAGTACTGTTGCCCTCAGAATGTCTGCGAATGGCCACAAAAAATCCTCCGCAACCCATTTGACACCTCCTCCCCTTAAAAATTTCCTGCCCATGCCCACACCCTGGGCGGTTGTCAAGGTTATGGTCCCGTTTTGGGTCCCCAAAAAACTCGGCACCTGCTATTTAAGATACCCAAAAAGAGAGCCTAATTTTGACAACCACCCCCCTGAATCCTGCATACACCCTGACGAGCTTTGTGTAAGGTAACAGCACTCGCTGCAGTAGTCCTCGCAGTAGCAGTAGCAGCGGCAGCTAGTAGCAGTAGCAGTAGCAGTAGCAGTAGCAGTAACAGTACCAGTAGCACTAGGAGTAGGAGTAGTAAGCAGTAGTAGCAGCAGTATTAGTAGTAGTAGCAGGAGTAATAGTAGCAGAAGTAGTAGCAGGAGTAATAGTAGTAGTAGCAGTAGTCGGAGGAGTAATAAGAGTAGAAGGGTCTTAGTTGTAGCCGTAGTAGTAGTAGTAGTAGTAGTAGTAGAAGTAGTAGTAGTAGTAGTAGTAGTAGTAGTAGCTGTTGTTGTTGTAGCAGCAGCAGCAGTAGTAGGAGGAGGAGGAGGAGTAGGAGTAGCAGTAGCAGTAGCAATAGCGGTAGGTTGTTGTTCTTGTTGGAGCAGTAGCCAGACTAACAGTAGTCGTGGCACTGATAGAATAGGTACAAGTACCCCTACAGTACTGGTGGAGGTAGTGGTAGTGGCAGTCCTGGTCGTGGTAGCGGTAAAGAGTTGGAACAGGAGCAGTGACAGTCTTTGTATGCGAGTCTGCGTGTGTGTAGGTATGTAAACAGGTAGATACGTGCGCACGCATGTATGCATGTGATAGTGTTGGAAGTGGAAGACCCAAAGACAGGGAAAGTTTGTGCTGATGTTTCCGTTTGCAAAGACACGATGATAAGGTCAAGCGACAGAGATTTTGAGAATGATGTCATCATTAGGTTTAACCGTTTCGTCAACTTTCGTCTGCGAATGATGATGATGACGATGATGATCATGATGATGCTGATGAAGCCCCACGGCTCACAGTCGAGGCCCGGGGTTCCTTTTCCGTTTGGCTTTGTGTTGTGTTTCGGGGTCGGGTTGGGGGGCTTCTTCTTCTTTGGTGAAGTTAGATGCACAGCCATGGAAGCCCTCATGACGATGAAGCAGCATCTGCCGAGAGCGTTGAGAGCACGGACCGCACTCCTCGCGACTTTGTTCGTCATGGTAGTGTGCAACCCCACGAGCTTCTGCCGAAGGGACCACCGCCTCCTCAGCCAGTCAACCTGCCACCCAGAGAGCGGGAGGCTACAGCCGGCAGAGACAGTCCAGCTTGCCTTTCAGATGCATGTGAGGAAGCCGCAGCATCCAGTGAAGCCTCGCATCCGGAGTACCGCTGGCCGTTGCACCAGGGTGAACGCCTTGCTGGGCCCTTCCTGCCGAATGGACGATTTGCTGAGACGACTTCCTCCTCCTCCAGTTCATCCACTGACGACGACGATAGAGCAAACCCGCGCCGCGAGGCCGGCGACGATCTTGACTCTGACGCCGGGAGCTGGAGCAGTACCAGCATTGACCTGGGAGGAGCCCCGCTGGCTCGTGCAGTGGACTTCCTACTGGGCCAATACCGCAGCCAGCTGTCCGACTCCACCGAACTCTACACCAATCGTGAGGTGGGTGGAAAAGTGGGCGGCCTGCGCAGGCACTTGGCTGGCAAAAACTGGGCCTATGTCAGTGACGTGGCACGGCGATACCTGGAAGGCGAAGCACTCGCCTCCTGGAGAGAGTATGAGCAACGGGCCACACATGCAAGGAGGCCCAGCCGCCATGTCCGGGCTCGCCACGCCTGATTTCGCTTGGCCTATTGGACGAGCAAGGAGCCATTGTGCTTATGCTTTCCAAATGCTAACCCGGTTACATGCCTTCGCCCCCACTAGGACCTCCCGACTCCGTAGACACACTCGACCCCACAAGAGTGTCAATCGCTGCATGCAAGCTGCAGCACCGCCGCCGAATGCAGGCCATCCTGCACCTTTCGGGCTGACTCCATCTCCTAGTCCTGTAAGCCACTCTAGGACCCCACAAACGTCTGGATTAAGCCGAGCCGGTCCCAAATCCGGCACCTGCCTCAGAAAGGTTCTAGTGATAAGCACCTTCGTAAGGGCAGGCGGGGCGAGGGTTTCGCCTGTATCCGCGAGAGGCGTGGGACCCACTGCCTCGGTAGTGGGGAAGCAGCGCGGCACCGCGCTTCTCGGATCGTCGGCAGCAGCCAGGCCGACAGCCATCCCATTTTCAGTTAAACGTTCCTTTCGTAGAGCTAGGCTTAGGGCCCATCAATCCCGTAATCAGGGTACTTGGTATAAGGGAGCCTGGCATACCACTGAGACCCTAGGCCAACTGCCCCAACCTATCCCCAGCACTCATCGCTTAAGACGTTCCAATCGCGCCAGCAGGCGCCTTGACCACTTAGCCATAATGTCTTGGAATGCAGGAGGGCTCCCCTCCCACATGTATCAAGAATTCCTCGCATGGTGCGACATGCAGTGGCAACTTGACATCATTGTAGTCCAAGAAACACATTGGCACGAAACAAGCGACTATGTGTCTGGGTCATGGCTAGTGTTACACTCGTCCGGTCGTGGACCGGACGTCGAATTTGGCAGGTGCTCTGGGCTCCTCTTCCTCATCAACCAGCGAGTCTTCAAGGACCCCAGAATCTTGGAAGTTATGCCAGGACGCCTAGCCCTCATTCAGATGTGTCACAAAACCAGTAACACACCGATTAGCCTCATTGGCGTGTACCAACATGTGTGGCGTAGCGGCCTAACCACGGCCAAGAATAAGGAACTACGACAAGGTCTATGGACACACCTTGATGGTCTGATCATGAAGACGCCTGCCCGGCATCATCTTATCATCAGTGGCGACTTCAACACCACCGTTCGCCCGGATCATCCCGTAGTAGGTCCCTGTGTGCCTGCCGACACGACTGACACCAATGGGGGAGACGAGCTTCAGATGATGCTTAGGACTCATAACCTCACGGTGCTTAACACCTGGCAGACCAAACACCCTAGTACCTACTACGCTCCCACGGGTGAGACACAGATTGATTACGTCATCGTGCGACAGGATGCTGCTGTGGCCAAAGCCAAACAGGCAAGCCCAGATAGATCATTTCCAATTGGGGGTGGTAGGCTCACTGGGCATTTTCCCATCCGCGCTGAGCTACCCTTGCTCCCCATATACTTCTCACAAAAGCCGGGACACTCTAAACATGTGCAGGCTCTGGATGTCACCGCTCTGCAAGCAGCGGTACGAGCTCGCTCAACTGAGGCCCAGCTTCTGTGTCAGAACGTTTCGGCACGACTGTCTCAAATCGACACATCCCAGATAGCTAGTGCACACGCCAGTGTAAACCGCATTCTTCTGGAGGAAGCGGCACTTGCATTTCCTCGTGAACCAAAGCCCGACCACCGGGTGTCGGCACAACCAGGCTTCCGGATCACCGCACGGGCTGTGTGGCAGACTTACCGACAGTTTAAGCGAGCAGGAGTGTGCACTTTCGGTCGCATCTTCGACAAGTGGCGACTGGCCACCAGCTTCGCCAAGGCCTCCAAAGCCTTACGCCAGCAAAGTAAAGAGCTAAAGCGAGCCTTCTATGAGGAGCAAATCGGGGCAGCTGAACTGGCAGCCGCCCGAGGCGACCAACGAAGCCTGTTCCTCATAATCCGCCGACTCTCCCCTAAAACCCGAAAAATTGCAGGTCGCATGCGCGGGGAAGACGGCCACCTGCTCTCTCCTGCAGAGGAGATGGAGGCCATAATTCGCTATAGTAAAACTTTTGCTGCCCGACCTGATGAGCCACACATTGCACCCCTCACCGAGGACCTAGTAATCACTGACCAAGCCCTTCTGGACGAACTCAGCAAGCTAGGCATAGGGAAGGCAGTACCCAAGCACATTGCACCGGCAGCTGTTTGGCGCCTGTGTGCCACGTCCATCAGTCATGCTCTTGGCCAGGCATTGCGACAGCACTTGCGAAGCGGCTCCCAATGCCAGCTCGACGAGGACTGGAAGCATTCCCATGTCTCCTGGATCCCTAAACCATCGAAGGCACCTACATCGGTTGAAGCCCTACGCCCAATAGGACTCACTAGTCCCGCTAGTAAGGCCCTTGCCGGGTGTTTACGATCCTCCCTTGTCAGCAGCCTCCAGCCCCTTTTGCAGCAGCTACCACAGTTTGCTTACGCCAAGCAAAGAGGAACATTCGATGCCATCATCCGCGCCCACCAGCACTTCGAGGCGGTCGCCGAAGTTCTGCAGCAAACCAAATGCAACCGATTCCAGCAACGAGTAGGCAAGAAGCAACGCCCCACCTCGGGGGGCCTTGGCCTCTCCTTAGACTTGTCCAAAGCATTTGATGGGGTCGACAGACCAGAGATTTACCGATCAATGTCTCGACATGGCGTCCCGAGCAGCACCATCACTCTTGTGCAGCAGCTGCATGCTGATGCCAGATACATCTTTCATAAGGGGGACCTCCGCGGCTCAGTCATCACATCAAATGGCATAAAGCAGGGATGTGTCATCGCTCCATTTCTATGGAACTACTTCTCTATATCCTTTCTCCTCTTGCTCCGCGACCAACGTAGTCAAGAGTGGATTGAAAGAGTTCTCTCTCTCTTTGCCGATGATGTATGGGGAGCCTGGGTTATCCGCGGACTCCCAGACCTTCGTGCTGCCATTGACGATGTAACCCTCATCCTTGAGACCCTAGAAACCCTGCATATGCAGATTAACTACGGTAAAACTGCCATCCTCCTCAGACTTGTAGGCAAAGATGCCAAGCAACAGCTCCGAGAACACACGTACATGCACGCAGGCCAGTTGCATCTTCGACTCACCGTCCACGGACGGGAATGTGGCGTCCCGATCAAGGACCAACACCTGTATCTGGGAACGGTTGTTACTTACAAGCACCGACTTGATCGCAACATGACACATCGGATTCAGGCGAGCCAGGTCAGGTATCAGAGCCTTAGGAAGCTCTTGAATGGCAACCACCATCTCACTACCTCACATCGGTTGCGACTTTGGCAAGCCTGCATTTGTTCCAGTGTGATGTACTCACAGGCAGCTGTTGGTGTCACCGAAAGATCCTTACGGAAACTCACGGTGTACCTCACCAAGCAGCTTCGAGCCATCCTCAGGGTTCCAGCTCATATTACACACATCACCACAGGCGGTGTGTGGCAACAGGCTGGTTTGCCCATGCCAGGCTGGAGCATTCAGCACACACTCCGAGATTTCCTTCAAAAGCTTGAGCGTAAAGCCTTCACGGCTGCTGACATTACCACAGGCGATCAAGCTTTCCAGCACCTCCGCCTGCTTGATACACGCCTCGATAAGCTACTGATGGAAGCCGCTGTGGATCTTGCAAAGGAGCCTCTAGGAGTCCCCCTAGTGAACTGTCCCCATTGCAATGAAGCCTTTCATACTGAAAACTCCATGCGTATCCACAGTAAGCTCAAGCACGGGGACCTACCGGCACACAGCACCAGGACCCCCACGGCCTTCCGCCCCGAGCTGCACTCCTTAGCAGGCATGCCTGCATGCCGCCTGTGCTCTAGGCAGTTCTTTCGCTGGTCCCATCTTCGCATTCACATTGAAAGTGGAGCCTGCAGTCAGCTAGGAGGTGATAGCCTGGTTCGTGCCCCGATCCCTGATGAACAGGCAGCCGAGATCATCCAAGCACCTCCCGCGGTGCACAGAGGCATTTTTGCAGATGAAAATGCGGCTCATACACCACTTGTAATGCGAGCGCAGTTTCAGCAGAAGCTTCATGATTGGGAGAGCTGGTTGAAAGAGCCCGCTGTCCGCCAAGAGCTCTCCAGTCACTGTGTGCTTTGCAACATGTGGATATCGAGCTACAAGCATGTCAAACAGCACTTCAACAAGGTTCATGCTGCACAGCATCCCACCTTAATGGACCGTGCTCTCAAGCTCAGCCTCACATTCAAATCGCATCTCACACGTGACCGCTCGTGCTTGTGGTGCCACCACAAGGTGGGAGCGCCAGGACGCCACGTCCAACAATGCACACCGCTGGTGCAACTGTGTCTAGCTGTCCTACACTGCCAGGACACACAAGATGTTCGGGGGGAACTACCAGATGGGCAACGACGAACTCGAGATCTTTGCCAGTTGTTGGGGGGGACCCGAGTACCAACCGCCTCCACCAAGGGGACCCAAGCGCCACCGACCGGAGCAGCAGCCTCACTGGGGACATCCCGGCTCCCAGATGACTCGACATCCGGGAGGCCAGCAACCACCTCCACATCGGGGACCGCCAGGACACTTCGGCAACTTTGGGTACCAGCCACAGCAGAATCGGCAAGACCAGCTACGACTCTTGACGCGAGTAGTCCTTCAACAGGAAGAAACCATCAGTCGTCTTCGTCAGGACAAGGTCTTCATCCTCTTCATGAGGAACGAGACCGACGGAACGTTGGCCTCACTGATGAAAGTGGCTCGCGAGTGGAGGAATCGCAAATCCTCCGACGATCCGAAGCTGAAGTCATCTCTCAAAACACTGCTTCTTGCATCACTCCTCCAGGAGGTACTGAATCAGGCCCAGAAAGCTGTCGCCACGGCCGAGAACAAAACCAAGATGGTGACCGCCGGCTGGATGACACAGGAAAGCGGCTGGACGTATCGAACCTGGCACCACTCCGAAAAGCGCCTCTGCCAGGACACCCAGAAGGACCCCCTGTCCCACGACGAGGCAGTCAGAGTGTTGACCCAGCTCCAGAAGCACGTCACTGGGGATGTCATTCAGAAGTTCGCCTCCACGGTGGGATTGCAGAAGCTGGAGGAGCAGGGCTCGAACGTGGCCACGTTTCAGCTGGAGGTCTCTCTCCGAGGCAACATGGCTCAGGAGATCTACGACAACCTGTCCCGTCTGACAGGACCTCAGCCTGGTGGGGGTCTCCATGAAGAAGGACACCCTCCCGAGATCTGCCCTCGCGAAGCACCTGGCGAACCAGTTTTACGGCCACTGACGAAGCAGCTGGCCCCGTGGCCGCGCACGAGCCACCGCCTCTCGATCTGCCTACTGTTCGACTTAAAGGGGGCTCCAACAGCTGCTACATCAATTCATTCCTGTATAGTCTGTGTACGGTACTTCGGCAGTGCGAACAACAGCATCTCCTACCTCAGGCCTTTTGGGAAACTTCAGAGCACCCGCGAGAAGCGATGCGTCTGATTGGGTTTAAACTTCTGGGCTGGTCGGAGCCTCGACGACAGCACGACGTAGCAGAGTTCATAGACCATTTACACCCTAAACTGGCCCGAACCACTTCCCTAGGTCATTGGGAGACACGTGGCCAGACTGCGGAGGGTTTTCACCGCCAGGTCCAGGCATCTGCTGCTAAGTGCATACAACTTCCCACTGATCCCGCCAATCCCACACACAACGTGCAGGACCTGGTGCAACTGTGGCACCAGCAAGCGGAGCTGCAGGCTTTTGCTCAGGCACCGCTCTGGGCCTTTCTGCAACTACCTAGATTTCGGTATAATGAGCGAGGTAAAGCCGAGAAACTCCTGCATCCCTACACCCTGCCCCACACAATCCGGCTTCCTGTTTCTGCATCAGCAGACTCACTGGCTGTCCAGTGGATCTCGTATCGCACAACAGCGTGCATACAGCATCATGGAGCCCGCCCCACGGCAGGTCATTACACTACGGCGATCTTCAGAAAGTCCGACCTATGGCAGCTGGACGATGAAAAATCGTCCCGTATGCATCGGCCGAAACAGCTTGACCACTTGAGTACCAACATGTACATCATAGCCATTGCACGCAAACCCGACATAGTCCTGCAGCCGTCAGCCGATTCACAGTATATGCAGTCCCGACACCATGGAACCTCACCGCGACCCTCGCACTCTACGCGAAGAGGACCTCAACTGGATTGCGTCTCAGCTGTTTCTACTGAAGCTGCAAGTCTCGGGCATAGCGGAAGGGCTGGAGGCTCTACAGTGTGCCCACAATCGCCTCGAAGGCGCGCTACGATTGCTGAATGCGAGGATGGAACAAAGTACCGAAGCTGCAAAGCTTTTTTTTTTTTAAAGTGCAGTGGGGCCTTTTCTGCGTGAGGTCCAGCCGTTAGCCGGCTTGCACTTTAATAGGTCATCATTTAGACCCATTGAAAGAAAGAAAACCAAAGCCCTCAGTCTCACTAGTCCACCACCTCGAGACCTCGACGACGTACAGAGAGGACAGGTTCATGACGGTCGGCGGGGCTACCAGTAGACGCAGTTGCCGTACTCGCCGAGTGCATTGTGGACAAACCAGTACCAGACGACCCATCAGCATCACGGCTACGACTGCGGTCACGATCACGAAGACGTCGATCATCAAGAGCTGCATGAGGTCCGCGAGAAGCAGCATCGTCAGGTAGACCTTGTTCCCTTCGAGTGGAACGTGATTCATGTGGTACTGCACCAACGACATCGCCTAAACCACCTTGAGGGAAGAGGACAGGAGGTGGTCGTGGAGCGCGTAGTCGTCGCCGATGACGTGGAAGACGGCGATCTGGTGGTCCAGGTGGTAGCATCCCATCTGGGATGTTAGTCGGGGCCGCATTTTCATCTGTCTGGATGAGATAGAGAACTTGGTCATCCTCCGAGGGCCACCAACCTTCTGGAATTGCGTGACCATCTTGCACATGAAGTGCTCTCGCATTGTGCCTCCAAGCACGGCGCCGTAGTCCCACTATGGTGCGTGGTTCCATGTGAGGCAGGCTGTTCCAGAGGCTCCGGAGATCTTCAGGGAGGCCTGGTTGGAGCAAAGCTGCGGCTGTGGTGCTGACTTGGGTGGTACCAGATGATGATGCACCCATGCCGAAGTTCGCCTCCTGGTTCACAACACCCCAGATGTGCATTTCCATCGTCGGAGAATTGAACACCATGGAGTTCGCGGGCACTGGCATCCACGTGAGTGCCTCCTCAATGGCCACTCCAATGAGGCGTCCCAAGTGGTTAAGACGTCGCTGTCTCGCCTGAAGCCTATGGAGGACATCGACAATGTCCGCCACGCTGCCATAGACAAGTTCGCGATTAACAGCATCACGAACAACATCCTCCGGAGACAGAGTCGTCGTAGAGGTCGAAGTTGACGTAGAACACCAACCACCAGCCAGTGCAAAGTCATCCCAGCAGGACCCAGGGGACAGAGAGGAGTCAGGCAGCAGGGGCATACACGACACCAGAGTTGAGGTAGAAGTCGAGGTCCATCCCACACCAGCAGAAGAAGACCACAACTGCACAAGAGCACCCATGTCACCCACCATGTCCTCCTCCAGGTTGAAGGTAGTCGAAGATAAGGTAGTGGAGCTGGCTGTCGATTCAGTCCAGATGCCCAGTAGGGCTCCATTGAGAGCCTCCTCCACAGAGCCGTGGACAGGGACCGGCACCGGCTGTCCTGGACGAAGATGGCGAGGCAAGTTCACCGGGATGGGCGGCGGAGGTCCGTTGGGAGGTTCATCCGGTCTCGCAGGTAGAACACAAACCAGTTGTCCATGTTCATTTAGTGCCACTTCGCTGTTCAATGACGGTGCCTCGTGGGAGGATGCGGCAGAGCGGCGGCTACTCGTTGACACGACTCCTCGGCTCCGGCTGCGGCTCCTTGTACGGTCACTTCCACCTGACGAGGACGAAGAAGGCGCCACCAGATCAGTACCAGCACTCGGTTCCTGTCGCACAGTCGACCCAGGGGTCGTAACCGGGTCCAAGGTGTCAGGTACTGTGTTACCTTGTGGTCCTTCGCCTGGTTGGAGACGGACCTGAAGGTTCCTGTCGAAGCACCCCACAAAGGTTCCTGCGAGATTCCTGACCCAATTGAAGAGCTGCCATCGTTGCATTTCTTCAGCTGGAACTCTTTGGATCGGTAAATAGCCACGAGGAAGAAGTCGACGTACAAGCACACCGTAGATGGACTCGATCGTAGCCATGCCATCCTCCACCCGTTCCAACAGGTGCCCCAGGGCCCAACGAGCTTCCGGACCTAGATCTTGGTCGTTGTGAGTGTCAAGGGCCTGCAGAAACTGCTCCAGACGATCCACATCAGCGCGAGGAATCCCTGCTTCTTGCAAAGTCGCACGTTCAGACCCAGTCATCTGCATCAGGGAGATGACATCAGGTAGTGCCGGTTCAACCACAGGCTCAAGACCAAAGTGTGGAAGCACTGGGCTGGTGGAAGAGGAAGTGGTCGACGAGGACGTGGTGGAGCAAGACGGCGTAGTACAAGACCAGTCTTCCCAAGATTGCCATGTCCCCCATGTAGAAGAAGACCACGCAGGAGACCAAGAAGAGGGTGCTGTAGACCATGTTGACGACACCCCATTTTGGTTCCACCAGTCGTGATGCCAGGATTGCCCAGACCAGGGATCCCAGTCCAGTTCCCAGTTTCCATCTTCGGACCCATGTGTAGGCTCCCCCCAAGAAGAGGTTTCCTGTGACTTGGCAGTCTGGTCTTCAGTCTCCAAGGCCTTGCCTGTGAAGGCTGCCATGATCTTGGGGTCGACAACGGGCTCCTCTTTCTGCACCTCTGTCCCAGCACCCAGTCCAGCTTGTTGAAGAGCTCGGGCTTCCTTTTCTCTAGCGTATCGAACCAGCCAGGCAGGTTTCCAAGAGCCCTCCATATACGAGACCATCCTCTGGTGTTTCCGAGCTGCACGCTGCGGTCCCATACCTCCTCGGTGCTGCCTCTGCTCAGTGACTGTCCGTGCACGAGAGTGCCAAACACCATGTCGCCAAAATCCTACTGAAGCATCCGTCGCCGAAGAGTCAGGGCCTGAGCTTTCATCGTCCCCACCAGAAGTAGAACTACCAGCAGTAGTAGAAGCCTCTGGTTGGATGCTTCCAGGACTGGCCCACACCTGGAAGGAGTCACCATAGAAACTCGTAGCCTTAACCACAGGAAGGCCATCAACTTCACCCACCCCGACCACCGTGAAAGGTTCAGCATGATCGAGTTGAGGATCATGCGATTCTGGAGCAGCTTCTCGTCGCTCTCGTGCACGGTTTCTCACAGAGCCGTCAGGGTGATGCCACCGATCCAGTCCACTGCGTGTACGACCAAAACGCGAGGTCACCCCAACATTTGTCTCCATGTTCGAGGAGGACGAAGCGCTCGAGGAAGCAGTGTCATCATTTCTGGTCAGCAAGGAGGCGGGGTCGCGTCCAGGGAGACCAGCAGGAGGGACACCTCCGCGAAGTACACGGTGATCACGGACGAGGTCTAGCCAATCCACTGCCGCGTCTCTGTCCACAGGGGGTCCTTCACCACTGTCACCAGGGGCACCATGTCCTTCTGCTGCTTCACCAAAAGGGAGAGGAAGGTCCTCAGGTATCGGAGCAAGACCCCCGAAGTCAACCTCCTCACCATCCATGTGAAGGACACCCGTAGCCAGGGCCCAGCAGATCTCTGCATCACTCTCAATCCGGTTGTTCGCTCCACTGGATGCAACCGGCATGCATGAAGAGGACGGACACGACCAATCCAAAGAACTCGACGAGGGGAGGGAGGAGGTCCACGGCCACGGCGTCGATGTGTGTAAAGGTGACGAACTCCACGTAGAACTCGAGCAGGTCCAGGAAGAAGACGATGAGGAAGCAGATGACTGGGAAACCTCACCCTCAGCTGCCAGAACAGGGTCACCGACAGCAACAGGACCAACCGCGGAGGCAGAGGAAGAAGTCCACGGTGTAGAAGAGTCATCCCATCCAGGCGCAGTAGCCGGAGAAGACGTCGAAAGGTTCTCGTCATCCCATACTGCAGCCATGTGGGCTGCAATTTCCTCCTGAGTCCAAGGTCGACAGCGATCTTCCGGTGGATCAGTTCCCCGTTGAACACAGCGACCACCAAGGGCAGCAGCCAACCACACCAGGAGACGCGCGAGGGGCAGCAGGCGCGCCATGAGAAGAGCAGGTCGTAGGAGACGAAAAGGGCGTAAGTTTTCACACCTAAGCCGAAGAGGCTCAAGAAAGACAAAGTGTAAGTTGAAACTTGCGAAAGAGATCTTCGTGCATGACATCCGGCATCCGAAAAGAGCAGCACAGCATGACAATGTGTGTACATGGTTCTCAACATACAGGAAGAGTGGCACCACCAAGATGGATCTTCAACTCAAAGACAGAGCTTCATTACTCCAACTAGGCAGGAAGCCATTCAACATCTAATCGAGAGCTGTCGTCCGCTGGCCCAGCGTACGTCCCATTCTTCAATATATTTTCCACGCGCAAGAGACCAGCTCGCACGATCTTGGGCTAGAACATGCCATAGGGGTCCACAGCTGTGAGACAGCTGCCGTTCTGCATTGGAAGCATAGAACTGACACGGATGGCGCATGGAGGTGCTGGGACTAAGCTGTTGCTGTTCACGCCACCAAAAAGTGTTTCGCCAGAGAACTGCTCTCATTGGAGCACAAGCTTTGGCAACCCCTCGGACGACCTCATAGCGACGAGACCAATGCCCGTGGAGGGTATGTTGGAGCGTAAGCACCTTCTCAGACCACCGAGGAATTTGGTTCGAATGCAACCACACACGAACGAAGCGCATGGATCTTTGATTCCATTGCACCCAGCTCTCAGAGGAAGCTCGCCTGAGGCCAAAAGCGGCTCTGCATGTATGCTGTTGCAAAACATTCAGAGCGTGAAGGTCGTCCTTTGCCCAGTGCAATGCCCCCGCTGTCCAGCTGAACTGGGATTCGATCAAGGTCCTCATGATCGAAACCTTGTGCAGCCATGCACCAGGGGCGCGAAGAAGATCTTTATGTGCAGCAGCAGCATCCCGCGCACGCCCAATCAGTTCCTTTGCTTGCTCGGATGCATCACGTGACAGAGAGAACGAGAGCCCTAGCACCTTGAGCGAATCACCCGCAGATGCAATGCAGTGGGCGTTCTCCCCTACGGTCGCGCGGCGAGGACCAACATAATGTTCATTGGCAACGATCTTCGTCTTCTCCTTTGCTAACGTAAGGCCAGCTTGCCGAAGACATCGATCAACCACCCCAATCCTTTTGCATAGGCGACCAAAGTTGGTCTCGACGATGAAGACGTCGTCCTGATAAAATAGCAGGTCAATGTCCACACCGGCAATGGGAGAACCAAGATCACCCCAACGTTTGCAATGAACAAGCTCGGAAAGGAGTGAATCAACCACAAGTCCGAACAACTCGGCACTCTCGGGAGCACCTTGTTTAATACCATTATCAGGACGAAGACGGACTTCTTTGCCTCCAGGAGCTTTGCCGACGATCTCATGAACAGAGAGTTGAGCAAGTAGATACCGTAGTTCAAAGCTCACCCCCTTGCGTTGCAGCCGAGCCCGAAGAAGTTCAGCGACTTTTGCTCTGTCGACTTTATCAAAAGCGCCTGCAACATCGAGCTTGCAAAGAATGAGTGGGTGGCACCACTCTTTCGAGACATCACGAAGGCGGGACAGGCAACCGATGAGGTCTGCCGCTTGGCGACCCTTGCCGCAACAACTAATCTTCGACCCCTGCCTCATCAGCGGAAGCGCCCTGGAGCAGACCAGACGATTGACGAGCTAGGCAGAGGACACGCAAATAGGGCGGAGATCAGAGGGTTGGCTAGGGAGACGACATTTAGCAAGAAGCGCAAGAAAGCTGCGCTCCCAGCTGGCCGGTAGCTCCCTTGTCTTGACAATGTGATTGATCAGGCTCAGTAGGCGCGGCCCAAGAACATCATGGTCAGCACATTCACGGAGAAGATGGACGCCAATACCGTCAGGCCCGACAGCACTACGACACTTCATCCCCTGCAACTCAACCCGCACGTCCAAGATGGTGAAGGGACAAAATTATCGTCCTCAGCAGCAGCCTGAATAAGACCAGCAAGCTGGTCTTCCCATTCGGAGGCCGTTCTCAAACTGCAAGTCATCTTTTCACGGAGATGAGCAGTGATCTCATGTGCGAGATCGACGGAACTATTCTCAGCAAGCATGTTCCCCCACCATCCTCGCCTACGCTTGCGTTCGTTCTGCAACTGTCGATACTGATCCCAGTCACCATTGAGGATCTTGGAAAGACGTGATTGAGTCCATAGACGTTTGTGGGCACGACGAAGCTTGTGTACCTTCTTCCACTCACGCGCACAACCCGAGGAACGAGCAGCACTGATGGCACCCTTCACCTCATCACCATCTCTGTACTGCTGTGAGGCACGGGGCTTCGTACAGCTGTTCGCCAGTTCAATGAGATCGTCTTCGTCAACAATCTCGACATCAGGGAGATCACGTACAACCCACCGAGGTCGCGAGTCATTTCCCCACACAGTTTTAGTGGGTCCACCAGCAATCAAGATGTCCCCTACGACAATAGCATGATCCGAACCGATGATGTGCCTCCGATCCGGCTCAATGTGGAGGGGGCATACATGGAGGAGCCTAGAAAAGATCATGTCAATTTGTCGGCCACGCCTTGTGGAATCACGAGGGAAATGGGTAGCAGCGTTTCGATCAGCAAGGCGGGGAGCTATAGGATGGACCCCTTGTTGTAGCATCTCGTGTAGGAGGGCCTCAAGATTGTTAGAGTTCGTCCCGATATTGAGAAGGCCATTTTCCTCAAGGTCCCAGTGAGGTACTTCATTGGCATCGACACCACAAAGCACTGGCAGGTGTCGAAATCGACGGGGGCAATGACCAGCGAATTCTTGAGCTGCAGCTTGATAGACGGCCGTGGTAACTCCAGTATGGCAATGGGCACACCCCAGAACCACACGTCCAAGACCAAGAACCCTCGCCACCATCCAAAGACCTCGCTCTGATGCAGTTTTCCAAGTGACCGAGTCAAACTTATCCAAGGCAATTCCAATCCCCGTGCCTCTCCACTGGCGAGCGTCCCGGAATGTCACCCAATGAAATTCATCCGTGTCAAAGGAGCTCCACCCACAAGTGTCACGAGCGATCTCTTGCGCAAATACAATGTCACAGTCTTTACAAGCGACATCGAGGAGACTAACATGCTGCCCACCAAGGTTCCAGGTACACGATCTACCCCATCTGCATGTTGCACACGGACGAGCCGAAGTCACCCCACTTTCCTCAGGAATAGCAGAGTCACCCCGAACCTGGTGAAGCGAATTCTGATCATCACGGGTGAAACCGTCGAGCCGCTGACGTCACAGCTCGCGCTCAAAGGCGCTCTTGGAATCGTCCGTCGAGCACCCTGCAATTCTAGCCACTGCGGAGACGTTCACCCAGCCGCCGCTCATAACGACAAACTCGTCCTGGCATTTCGGCTGACGGTGAGTGGTGCTTTCAAGTTTTTCACTGCCACACCACACGGTCCCCATGTTCCAGTCACAGTCGTAGGAACTGATCTGGTCGTTCACCCCTTGGTTCTGCTCCTGGTTGTCCTTCACGAGCGCGATAGCGACCCTCCTAATCATGCTGACGTGGGAACTTCGAAGGCGAGCATTCTTGCTCTTCACAAACGATGCCCAAAGGGTCTTAGTTTCACCAGACGCAGAAGTGCTCGGCAGAGAATGCTTAATTCGTCCCAGTGCTCGAATGAGTTCCCACATACGGCCTTTCAAGGTCTGGGGCGATTCACCCTCCCGAAGCTTGAACCGGAGGAGTCCAACTGAACGACGAGGTCCAAAGATCTGCAGCTTGTCATTGTCAATGAGGCTCGCAACTTCAGGCATCTGCAAGATCACACCAGCCTCCTCTTCGATGACCGAGCGTTTTGTGTCCTGAAGCCACCCTCCAATCACAAGGGTTCTTTTATCCTCCTCAGGGATGAAGTCACCCTTATCGTCCTGCGGATTTCCCCCAGAGGGACGAGATGCTTCTTTTGGATCACCACCCAAGGGACCAGGTGAACGACGAGCCTGCAGGTAGTCACTCCACGGATCCACTCCTGGAGGGTTAAGCACAGCTCCTGGTCGCGTATCACTGGGGGCAGGGCGGGAGTTCAACTCATCAATCTTGACCTGCATCTTCTGGACGTCGGAGGTGAGATCATCCAAGGCTTTCGTCTGTACTTGCAGGTCCTTTTTCTGCTGGTGATGGTCTTTCTCAAGTACTCTCGTGTGTGTCTGCAAATTGGTGATTTCGAAACTGCTCTTCTTTTGTTCTTGTTCGACACAGTCAAGACGCCCCTTGAACGAATCCCATGCAGTCCTCATCTCGCAAACATGTCCAAGAAGAAGCTCACGGATCTCACGGGCGGTAAGGGGTTTATCTCCAGAAAGTGAGGGTCTCTTTGATGGGCTGTCTTCGTCGTCGGAGTCAGGGACAGGGCGAACTCTAGGGTCACACTTAGACGCAGACGACTCACCCCTCTTCCTCTTTTCAAGCTTTGCGGGCATTTCAGCATCATCACCATCACCCTCGGAAACCTCTTCCTCAGCGAGCTCCGTGGGG